CACGCCTGGCCTCCACATCTGTCTTACTGGCCCTTTGATTTGGACATGTGTCTTCACTTCTCTTGGAATTTTTTGTAAGTGATGCAAAATGGAGAAAGTAACTGTTCGGGTGTAGGGATCTCGGAAGAGCTTCAGATAAAGCATGTCGTGTGTTCAGTATGTATTGGCACAAAACAGTCATGAAAGGGTTTGTCATTTGCTTCTTGACAGACACACATCTTCCTCAAGGACAGTCCAGCAACAACCTGAATATCTTCATTGGACTCTCAGTAGCCATCATCTCCATTGGCGTATGCCTCTCTGCTTTTATCGGTTTCAGGTGTTACATAAAATATTGTAAGTCTCAGGGAGGGGAGGACCGTATCATGTGAGCCTCGTGGGGATAGGACCGGGGCACAGAGAGGGCTGTTCACCTCCTGTGGGTTGATCTGTGTTTCCATTGAGGTTCTTGAGGGAGAAACCCTTCTGCTTCCCTTCACTGACCAATCACCGCAACCCCTCCCCTACCTCCACCTCACCTCTAGGGAGGCCACTGACCTGCAGGAGATGGTCCATGAGAGAGGCAGAAGGATGGGGGCCATCGATGGGAGTGGTCGTGGGGCAGTCAAGATTGCCCCAGGGTTGCTGATGGGTGGTTCTCTGAATTTAGTGGGGGAGGCTGCATCACGCTGCAGCCTCAGGCACGCCCTCATCTTGTTTTGGCCTTGGTATTGCCACCTCTGATGTGAAGATCTGGAAGACTTCCTTTTTCACCCCACAGACACCACCATGGCAAACACAGAGCCCACGGAAGGCCACCGGATGGATGAAGAGGTGAGTTCTTCCAGTCCAAACCATCATCACAACTTCATCCCCTCACATTCCCAGTTCCCTGCCTTCAGTTACTAAATGTGCTCCTCTTTTCACCTTCATCCTCTCAGGGCCCTCCAGCGGAAGAGACACAGGAGGTGATGTATGCCCAGTTAAACCACCAGACCCTCTCCCAGACAGGACTCACTCCTGCCTCCCCGTGTCCCAAGTACCTCTCGGAGGATCCCAGTATCTACGTCACCGTCCACCAAGCCCAGGCTGAGGCCAGAGCTGCCCCCAGTCTTTGCCACAGAGGTCATTAATACGCAAGGACCTGGATCTATTCCCAGGAGGATTTTTCTCCACGGACACTCTTCTTCCCTCTGGTACCATCTTGACACCTCCAAGCTGGCAACAGCAGTGTCTGAATGCTTGTGGGATTATCTTAACATTCCAGCACAGCTGAGCAGACAACCAGCCATTCTACGATCCTATTTTGATCTTCCAGCCATTTAAGGTGGTTTGACTATACCCACACACTCATCCTGGATATCTCATTAATATCATCTGACTTCTTCTGAAATTCTATAGACCTGCTTCTGGAAAGCTGATGTATACACTCAGCCAGTTTAATCTCTAAATTCTTCAATAAGTTTTTTTTTTTTTAATTTTTAAAAAGGTTCTGGGGTCCCTGTGCGGGAGGTGCAGGTTTGTTTCATAGGTAAACGTGTGCCATAGTGGTTTGCTGCATCTATCAATCCCTCACCTAGCTACTAAGCCCAGCAGGCATTAGCTCTTTTCCCTAATGCTCTCTGTACCCCCTGCCCTCCTCTGACAGGCCCCAGTGAGTGTGTTCCCCTCCCTGTGTCCATGTGTTCTCATTGTTCAGCTCCCACTTACAAGCGAAAACATGCGGTGTCTGGTTTTCTGTTCCTGCATTAGTTTGCTGCAGATAATGTCTTCCAGCTTCATCCATGCCTCCGCAAATGATATGATCTCACTCCTTTGAATGACTGCATAGTATTCCATGGGGTATGTGTATCACCTTTTCTTTATCCTATCTATCATTGATGGGTATTTGGGTTGATTCCATATCTTTGCGATTACTCAATAACATGTTGCAGAGATGAAGTGTATTCAGTATCTGAGTCATCTAATATGGTGAAGTTTTTGAATACTTCAGATTCTCAACAAGCATTTGACGTGTTTAAATTTGACAATACTTGAAGTTTTTGAATACTTCAAATTCTTGACAAGCATTTGACGTGTTTAAATTTGAGATAACCAAAAAATTAATAGTTCTCTCAAAACTCCCATGTTGTACACTTATTTATTTATTTTACTTTAAGTTCTGGGATACATGTGCAGAACGTGCAGGTTTGCTACATACGTATACTAGCCAAATATGGCTTTTTAACTTAGAATAGATCAAATTCCATGAAGTTTAAAATTCAGTTCCTCAGCCACATGGCCACCGTTTGAGTTTTCAGAGCCACGTGTGGCTGCTGGCTGTCAGAGAGAAGAGCATGAATACAAATGTTCTCCTTGTCAGAGGAAGTTCTAGCTGTTCTAGATTATAGCTGTTCTAGATTAAAGGCGCAAATTTGAAGATGCAGAGGCTGTTTTCTCACGCAGTGCAGGCTCCTGCAAGAGACCTAATGTAACAAACGATAATATTTAACATCAGTGGGGAGATGTCTTTATCTCACGGAAGGCAGGGAACACGCAGAATTCTCTCGTGGAGGGTCTTATCACCTCTTATCCTCATGCAAATTTCTGCCACAGAGATTTTCTCCCAAACTCTGAGAAGGTCACCTCTGTCGGGCCTCTGAGCCCAAGCGAAGCCATCATATCCCCTGTGACCTGCACGTGTACATCCAGATGGCCTGAAGCAACTGAAGAGCCACAAAAGACGTGAAAATAGCCTTAACTGACGACAATCTACCATTGTGATTTGTTCCTGCCCCACCCTAACTGATAGGATATATTCTGCCCCGCTCTTGGGAAGGTACTTTGTAATATTCTCCCGGTCCTTGAGAAGGTACTTCGTACACCCATCTCAAACCTGTAAGAACTAACGATAATCCCACCCCACTTTGCTGACTCTCTTTTCAGACTCAGCCCGCCTGCATCCAGGTGAACTAAACAAGCTTGTTGCTCACACAGAGCCTGCTGGTGGTCTCTTCACACGGATGCTCATGCCAGCTTCCTATGTGCACCTTTTCTTGTCCCCTGATTTCACATGGAGAGAAAGCACACATCTCTTCTCTGCACAGAACACGCTCTGGAAGCTGCTTTCTGATGACCTCGGAGCCTTTATTCTGTTTCTTTCTACTTGAAGTGGCACCTACCCGGAGCAATTCGCAAACTGCTGCCTGCAACGAGCTGTCGTTAGCTCATGGAATTGTCATGTGCTGTTTCTTCACCTGGTAATTCTCTCCATTTCTTGAGCATCTCAGTGCAGACATCCACCTTCATACACACGTCTTTATCTCACAGGCGAAGTGAGGAGGTCAATAGACTCGGTGTCTGTGACCAATAGGCTGAGTTTTTATTGCCTGATCCTCACTGGTCTTTTTTTTTTTTT